TAATACCTAACTTCAAAATACTTATTACATATTTACAGCAATTAAAATGCACTGATTGGTTTATTAATTAACAAACTCGTTTATTAATAAACTTTCTTAAGTGAGTTTTGTTATTCTTACCCAAGCCTAAGATGCCAGAAGCTCCTCTAGACAAACATAAGAGACGAAGTCTTTGCACAGGGTCACTAGAACCACCTGTTGATTGTAGCTCCCTCAAACTTCTAGCAGCCATTTCACTTTCTTGTCTGGACGTGGCACTTTGAGGTCTGAGTGGCATGCTACGAACATTTCAAGCAGTTTCTTGTAAAATTTCCGAATAACGTTATTACAATTTTTTTTTTATCAAACAGCCAACACAATGTCTTTATTATTTATTATTATACAAGATATTTTACATACATAACTTATAAAGTTGTTGCTGGTACTTCTCGAAGACTTAAAGAGGGCTCAATTGGCAAATCCCCTTGATGTATGAAAACGAAATAATTTAGAAACTCTTACTTTCAAACGAAAATTAGCCCATCACGTTAAATCAAGTAATACTGGCAGCATGAGAGTTATAACTGCTAATATACGATAGTTATAGCTCCATTCGGTTAGCACGAAATATTATCAATTTGAGAAGCAGTAAAAAATTCTACTAATAATAGAATAGTAAACAGTGGAAATATTTTTGAGTCAGCCAATGCAACAATGACTCAAATATTACTATCAAAGCCGTACCTAATAATTTAAGTAACCATATCATATGATTTACAACATTTATTAATAGGATTGATATGTAGTTGTTTTGTTCCATTTTCCCTGTTCATCTGCTGAACAAATGAACTAAATTAATTTCAGTATTTGTTAATTTATGAGAAAGTCAACGCCGATTTACTTATATGCTTATTGCCAGAAACTGTAGTAGCATTCTGGTTTTCCGGCATTTAGAACTTTGCATGTATAAGATGTGACTACTAATTTAAAGTGAAAAATTCGATAGTTTAAAAAACATGACACAAATCGAAATCCACCCAACACGAGCCTGAACAGCTTACATTGCTAAAATCATACAGTGATTAGAGCTAAATTTATTAGCGTTCCACTTTCTAGGAACCAGATAGATTTAAAAAATACTTATTAAAGTATTACAGGTTCAGCAAAGAAACGACGAGGTGCGTTCTATCATTAAACGCTACAAAACCCGTGTTTAATTGGAAGAATCGCATTACAAATAATATTCTCAGTTTGCTTAATATGAATTGGGAAGAAGTTCTAACTCATATTACGACGATAGTCAAAGAATTTTCGAACGAAGTTTTGCGCAGGTTGTGTTGCAATTTTTTGTTGGTTTCCACAACTAACTTGGAAAAAGTTGGGTTTGCGAAGTTGCAAAATTTTGAAGAATTTTCTAAAGATGTCGGGGGTGGTAAAATTTGGTTAAAATGGTCTTTTATGGCCGAGTGTCATCATTAGCCAAAGTTGAATCTAATTTACTCTGCGGTAAAATTCTTCAGGCTAAGACTTATCAAATGGCAACATGAGACTGCTGTCATAAACAGTGTTAAAGCCCGTGTCCCATGCATCCGTTTATATTGCTTTTATATTGTACGATGATACGAAAGTGTTTCTATTGGTTGGAGATCTGTCAGTTCGTACGATGGCGGACGATTTGACAGATCTCCAACCAATAGAAACACTTTCGTACCATCGTATCATTGTACAAACGGATGCATGGGGCACGGGCTTTAGTCCATGTCCCATGTCCCATCTACCCTAAGACGGGTAGATGTCACCCTTAGAATCTTAAATGGAAGGGGGGGTCAAGTGGCACATAGTTACTACTTTACTGTTTTTTGTTGATAGATTTTAGAATAATCGTGTTTCAAAGTTGTAGAAACAGTTATACTAGCGTGAATTCAGATATTGGCTTTCAGGTTAGTGTTTACACGAAAACAATTGTATTGGGTCTGCTTGTAACACAGATGATTAGAAGAGTAGAGTACACTGTTAAAAACGTTGATTAACTGGCAGAAAATCTAGTTTAAACATTGATTTATTATTTTTGATTTTGATCTTATTTCTTATTTATTGATTATTTTACGTCGACAAAACTAACTTTCTATTTGCGGAAGAGAAATATCTACAATAAAACCTATGTCATCTACTTACGCAGAATTTTATAAGTTTTTCAAATGTTGTTAATTTTTCTGTAAACAATAATAAGGCCTGTTTTTAAACTCTTGCCTAACTTCACCGGGAATTGACCGGCATTGTGCTGCAATTCGCCTTTTAAGATCATCAATATCAGCAGGTTATGTTTTATAAACAATGTCCCAAAAGGACTTAAGATGTTCCCAAAGGAGAAGTCTAAGGGTGTTCAATCCGGTGATCTTGGCGGCCATTCAATTGGTCCCCTTCTGCCAATCGATCTATCCGGGAATATCTTATCAATGTTAAGGAGGGTTCGAAGATAGAATCGAAAATATTATTGTTTACAAGAAAATAGACGACATTTTGAACAACTTATAAGATAGTGCGTAAGTAAATCTCATGGGTTTTATTGTAGAAACTTATTTTCCGAAAATAAAAAGTGATTTTTCTCGAAGTAAACTAATCAATAAATCCTCTCAACTCACTCACTAGATTTTCTTCCTGTTATTCAACGATTTTAACGGTATAACCGAATCTTCTAATCATTTTGTACTATAAGGAGATCCAATGACATAATTTTTGTTTGAACACTAATCTGAAAACCAAAATCTCAATGCAAGCAAGTTTAATTGGTTCTGTAATTTTGAAACGCGATTATTCGAAAACCTCTGGACAAAAAGCAACAAAGTAATAACTAATGTAAATAAAATTGAACGCCTTTTAAAACGATGTGGCACTTGATTTAAGATTGTAAGGGTGACATTTACCCGTCTTAGGGGGTTGAAACAATGAGGCTAAAAATATTTCTCTAGAGTGCCCTCTTACAAATAAAATTTCCAGTCTTTCCGGTTTTTCATATTTTAAATTGCAAGAAAGATATTAAGGGTGAGAAGTTTTCAAATTGGCGCCCGGTATATATATCTTACAACTGTGTAGTATTTAAGTTTACATTTTTCCACATAGTTTTTTAATGCAAACACTATACAATTAAAATATCAATCGCGCACACTTTATAGCACAGTATACTTGAATTTATTTTTTTTTATTTTGTTATTGATTGTTAAATTGTAGTATTTGTGCTGCTTCGACATTTTATTTTAAAGGACAAGGTTTGGATATGTGAAATTCTGAACAAATTTCTGCAGCATTGATTGAAAAGTGTTGATGGTTTCAAACATTAACATGTTGAGAATAATTTTCACTTGTTGAATTGATCAGAGCATTATTACTTAGTGTCCATTATAAATAGGTATTCATCATGTTCGTTTACTTAGTGAGCCTTTTTATTTCAATTAAACCGTACTGAGAAACACTGGTTAATTAAATGTATTAATTTACACATGATTATATTAAATCACGTACCTGGTTTTATTTCTGTAGAAACTGTACCGCAGGAATGATTTAACTTTTTAAAATGATATGCTCTGTATCAAGCGATGGCACGATTTTATATCTACGTGTAATGGGATCGTTTTCCAACGTATCGACCGGAAAACCTAGTCTAATACCGCACCAAATAATTAAACGCAAACTTCATTAAAAAAGTGGCGGTTGATTAACTTCCGCGGGCCGCTGACACCTTCCTCAGTGCAAAGAATATTGATGTTTTTGAGTTAAAACGTTTCGTTGTATAAAATACTAATTGGAGTGAATTCGATGAATGACTTCAAATTTATGGTGAAAAATTGATGACTAACTATATTGAATGTTTTATGTTGTTCAGTTCGGTTGCTAAGACAGCGACTGAAAATGGAGTATAAACAAATACCGGCATGTAACATTAAAAAGTAATGTATAAAGTTGGAAATAACGATCAATAATGCTTTTATTTCGATCAGATTAACATTAAGGTCGCAATACCTGTAATATAAATATATCATTATTATCAAATAATATTAAGTCTGCTTGAAATAGAGGATTTGTTAATTACATTTTGTAAAACAAGAGTTTTTATCGATAATTTGTCAGCTGGTCAATCGAGATCATCTGAAAATGTTGTACAATAATCAGTAACCAAGTCAAAAATAAAAAATATATAGTTGTGAATGGATCATATTAACAAAAGCGTAGCATTTGCTGCACAACATATTTTGTGTGCTTAATGGTAAATTTTGATCAGTCTTGTAAATTTCTAACATTCTTTATTACGTTGCTGATACTTCTGAGCTAATCAAACGGGCAATTCGTACTATTGAGAGTGATTCAAAATCGGTATTCTTTACTTTAATACGTTTTTTCCGCGACCTATATTTTGACTGTACTTGATTGCTTATGGACACAATGTTTAGAGCTTTTGTTAGTTTTGGTTATAATTGGTTAATCATCTATTTTTTTGATAATCTTAGGCATCTATCACTACCAAAACTGGAAATTTGCAAACCTTTTTACAGTTAAAACTAAGAAAACAAATCAGAGTGTACTTCTCTATGACAAATTTCTGGAATTGATCACTCCAGTGTATTTATTAGCTCTCGAAAATGAAATTTTATGCTTATACTCAATTCTTTAAAGAAGTTGAATGGAAACCATGTATGAGTATAACTAAACATTACAAATAGCACGTAACTGTTTTTAAAGTTTTGCTAAATGTCGGTTAGCAATAATTACTATGCTGTTATTTTTGCAACGAAAATCTCAACGTTAATTACGCATTCACACAGATATTTGGTGACGGTCAAAAATAGGTGGCAGGGATAAAACTAGTTACAAAGTAGTACTGGTCGATATACAGCGTTATTATTGGATTGTTTTTAAAAATTCCTTTTAATGGTTTACGGAGGCTTACTTGGAGAGTAAGAAAAAAGTATTGGAAAAATAATTTTCGATAATTTTTGAAGATATTGTGTAACAGTTGAAAATCGAATTTCAGCTTTGCTATTAATTATTATTTTGAAATGGTCCCAACTTTGATTGGTAGTCTATTGGAGTACTTAAGTATTCAAACAAAATTATAATATTTACTTCAAATTATAAAAATTTTTCTCCTACTATTTTTTAGGTAGGTAGATAGTTTTTTTTCAAATGGTCAACTTCGAAACGTTATTCATGCCGTGTTTTCACGGGCCACTTCCTGGAGTTGCTGCGTGAGCCATGCGGGTGTTAACTAATACTCTCCAGTGTTACATTATTAAATAGTTTAAGAATCATTCGTATTTATTCTTGTTTCTTAAAAGATGCATATGACAGAGCCCTTTTGTGGAATACTCCACTTATTTTCTACCGAGGTTTCGTCTTTTCAATCCTCTTATGGCATCGCTCTTGAAATCCCACATTGCAAATCACTAAATTTCTGCAATAAAGGTGTCCGTGTCAAACGGTTCCGTTTAGGAAACTGAAGTGATTCCTTTGCATGTTGATTGTGGAGAAACAGAAGACTTTTGTGAGCGTGTGGTCAATCAGGCGGATTGCAAATCTACATAGCATAACATGAATACTACACCAGAGCCGTTCCGAATAGAAGAAAAGGAGCTTTAGCGAAAATATTGCCGAAAATACCCCAAATACCAAAGGACATTAGTATTAAAACATTTCGGAAAAATTACAGGAACTGGTGTGTATAGAAAAACTCGATAAAATGAATTTGCAAAAGTGACTAATTTCTTGTTGAAATAGATCGTCGCCGAGCCCTTTCGACAGTTACGTCATCATCAGAGCCGTCATACCCACGCGAGCATCAAGAACTCACGGACCATAAAATAGGACAGGATCAAACAGATTAAAATATTGAGCACATAAATTAAAATTTCAGAGGTCACATAAATCAAATAGTTCACTTCAGAGATAGTTTTAATTTACGTGACCAATATTTTAATCTGTTTATTCCCGTCCCTTTTATGGTCTGTGAGTTTTTGATGGTCGCGTATGCATTACTTGTGCCCTGATGATGACGAAGCTGTCGAACGCACGCCTAGTGCAACTCTAACTGATCTTGTTAGACCAAAAAATCTAACAATCTATTTAAACAAACATTGCAGCGCTTTAAAACTGAATAAGTTGCTTTTCTAACTGACCGACCATCAATATTTTCAAATGTCCTAACAACATCTTCTATAAGTTCTTTTAAATTGCCATTCTTATTTGTATAAACTGTGTTCTTTACGTTTGCCCACCAAAAAAAAAAACAAATCTAAAACTAAAAATCCGGTGATCGAAAATAGGACCGTTTCTTCTAAGCGAAGCGTCCGAAAATTCTTCTTCCGAATGATTCCGCACTTGGACAAAATTATGCTGAGGGGCTCCATCATGTTGAAACCACATAATATCTAGATCATTCCGAAGGAATTGAATATACCGACTTCCATTTAAGCTGTTCCACTAACCCAAACGTTAAATTCAAATTTAATTTGTGGCCTCCTTTGTTCAAAGGGGGGGTTGTGTGATTAAACATACCACAATTTGTAAATCGAGTTTGATCTGTCCATAATAAATTCGGACGCAGCCCTATCA